ATAGCCGAAAGAGTCTCGAAGACTCTTGAAATGTTCTCGAACATTTCTGAAGAATTCTTGAACAATCCGGAAGAACTCCTGAAGATTCCTGAAAGGGTCTTGAAGATTTCTGCCGGGATTATGAAGATTTCCAGAAAGGATTCTTGAGGGCTCCGAAAGATTCTCTGGGATTCCTGAAGGATTATTGAGGACCCCTCCTGAATAGACGAGCGCGTTCCACTACTCGCAAAGTAGCTACTCGCAAATGGCCTGGATCCGCCGCGGGGTATCTACGGTAAGTTACATTGAAGCAGACCTGTGTTTTTCGGGCGTTTGCGAGTAGGCATTTTGCCAGTAGTGGAACGCGCTCGGTGACTGAAGAAGCCTCGAGGGGCGTGCGGGGGTGGTCGGAGGACAACGGGGCGGCGGAGGAGGGCGGGACCCTGCCGTCGGGGGATGTCGGGGGGGGGCGCGGGGAGGGTGGGGCCCTGGGACACGCAAATAAATGCGCATAAATAACAGGATTCCGCATATTTTCCTATATTCTGGGTCTTTGTCTTCCCCCCCACTTCCCATATTTTCCCATATTATCTAGGGAATCGACGATTAATTGTGTCTGTGTGTTTCTTCCCCTCCTGAGGGGAGGGTGGGGCGGGGGGGACGCTCCGTTCGACCTCCCAGAGGGGAGGGGGAGGGGCGCAGGGGAGCCGGCGACGGCTGCGCGCCTGGCAGCACCCGGGCGAGCGACGAGGGGAGAGGAGGCGGCCAGGGAGGCGGGAGGCGGAGGGAGGCGCGGGCGACAGAGCGGCGTCCGCCTGTCGCCGCAGCGCCAGCCGCACCTCCCAGAACCCCCTTCACACTCCTCCTCTTGCTCTTCTTCCTCCTCCTCCTCCTCCTCATCGTCATCAGCATCACCATCATCACCATTATGCACCATCATCACCATCATGATGATGATCATCATCACCACCACCACCACCACCACCACCATCATCAACATCATCATCATCATCATCATCATCATCATCATCATCAGCATCAGCATCAGCATCAGCATCATCATCATCATCATCATCAGCATCAGCATCATCATCATCATCAACATCATCATCATCATCATCATCATCATCATCATCGTCATCATCATCATCATCATCATCGTCATCATCCTCATCCTCATCATCATCATCATCATGATCGTCATCATCATCATCATCATCGTCATCATCATCATCATCATCGTCATCATCATCATCGTTATCATCATCATCGTGATCACCAGCAGCATCAGCATACTCATAATCATCATCGCCATCATCATAAGCAGCAGCAGCATCGTCGCCATGGTCAGCATCGGCATCAGCACAACTATCAACATCATCACAACCACCACCACCACCACCACCACCACCATCATCAGCATCAGCATCATCATCATCAGCATCAGCATCCTCATCATTTGCATCGGCATACAACTAATAGTATCATTAATAGCAATCATCGTCATCATCACCATCATCATCATCATCTACACCATCACCATCACCATCACCATCACGATTCCCATCACCATCACCATCATCACCACGAATCATCATCAGCACCACCATCATCATCATCATCATCATCACCATCATCATCACCATCAGAATCAGCATCAGCATCATCATCGGCATCATCATCAGCATTATCATTATCCTAAACTCATAAGCATTATCATCATCCACATCATCATGATCATCAACAACATCATGATCATGGTTGTCATCAGCATTATCAGTATCTCATCATCATGATGACCACAAGCCTGGTCATTAACATCATCCTCGTAAGCATCATCGCCAGAATCACCATGATGATGATCATCATCATCATCATCATGATCGTCACCATCATTATCATCAGCAGCACCATCAACCTAATTATCATCCGCATCATCAGCATCATCATCAGTATTGTAATCATCATCATGAACATTAGATTCGTCGTCGCCAACAGTACCAACATCACCAACAGCATCATCAATATCAGCATCGCCGTCCTCATCACACTCATGCTCATCGTCAGCATAATCGTAATCAGCATCACCACCATCATCATCAGCATACTCATGATCAGCAGCCCGATCATCATTACCACCAGCACCATGAACAATAACATAATAATCATAATCATCATCATCATCAGCAGCATCATATTAATCAGCTTCAGGATCAGTATCCACATCATCATCATCGTCATCAGCATCGAAACCATCAGCATTATCATTGTCATCATCACCGACATAGAAATCACAATCAGCATCCTCATTATCATCACCAGCATCACCGTCATCATCCTCATCACCACCACCATCATCATCGTCGGCATCATCGTCTTCATCATCAGCATCATCACCATCGTCGTCAGTGTCACCATCATCGCCATCACAATCCATTCCCCTCCCAATCCTCATCCCAATGTTCGTCAGCGCCACCATCCTCATCTTCATGCTAATCGGAATCATCACTCCCTCCTCGTCGCACCATCAGACGTGTCGACAAGGCCGGTCGGCTACACATTTCACCTAAAGCGTCCTCGCCGCTGCGATCCCGATACTGAAAAGTCGCACAGCAACACGAATTAAGGGCGGGTGCTACCTCAAAATGTGGCTCTCGCTGTGGTGCCGCGCACATTCGTCGTGAAAGCTTCAAACGGCCACAAGGATAGAAGGCGAATCATGTTCAAAATGTGGTTCCATCCATGGCGCCGCGCACATTCGTAATCAAAACTTCCAACGGTTACAGGGATGGATGGTGGCCCCCTTTCATAATGTGGCTCTTGCCATCGTGACGCGCGAATTTGCTTTAAAAGCGTACAGAACGGCTACAAAGATGCAGGGCGGCACCTTTCAAAATGTGGCTCTCGCCTCCGGTAGAAACTCTCAACCGTTACAACAATGGAGGGAGGCTCCTTTTAGAAGTGGAGCTTCAGCTTCAGACTTCAGACGAAGTAGGACCAGAAGCACAAACATATGCAACAGCTTGAAACCCCCGCTGTATTCATGACCACAAACGCAAGGTTGAGCAGCAGCTACACAGATGAAGCGGGGTTCCACTTTCAAAACGTTCTCTCGCTACACACGCACTTCATGTGTTACCCTGCCTGTTCGCATTCCTTGTAACGTGGGAAGCGCATGAGGCATTCGTCTTTCAAGGGGAAGCCCCCCCCTGCATGCAGTGAAGACAGGTGGACTGAAGAATGCATTGAACTTCGTTGGTGCATCGTGGTTCACGCTGGCCTCTCTCACCGTCCCCACTACTGCCATCGTCATCAACAACAACACCATCACCACCATCGTCATCACCATCATCCTCATCATCAGCAGCATCACCACCTTATCCTCATCTGCAGCATCATCTCCCCCCCGCCCGCTCCTCCACTTTCTCCTCACCCCCTCCTCAACCTACGCCTCCCTCCCTCCATCACCATACACTATACTAGACCGTATTCCTACTACTCCTCGCCATCATGTTCTGTTCTGTAGGTCCAGATATCATATATTTGCGTACACTCCAGGCTAAGAGCGGGCATTCATGCTAGATGCGCACCACGCCCACTGAACTGATCCATGTTTTTCCTCCTCCTACTCCTCCTCCATTTCCTCGTCCTCCTTTTCCGCCTCATCCGATTCCCTCCTCATCCATCCTCCTCCTTCTGTGTGAGGCGTGATCGGATGCGGAGAGCTGGCCACGAGCCTGTCAAGACAGGCGGCGCTCTCAAGTGTCAGGTTTGTGATCGTGTATTCTCTCTGTGCGGCCAAGTGAGTTTTTTCTGCCCTGGACCCTGTATCGGTTCGAGGCATCTTTATTTCGATGTTGATCCCCTCAGGCATCCTCTGTACCTCTGTATGTATCCTAAGTGCGCTGTCACTCACAAGCTTCAAGTGCTCCGACGGGGTATTTACTGCGACAGGTGCGACTCTCACAGCACAATTGACGCAAAGAGCCTTTCTCATCATTGTACGGTCAGTGACCAGCCTCCCACTAGAGCTGGGAAGGAAGTTGTGTCTTGTCTGTCCAAGGGCCTCCCCAGGGAAGAAGGCCCAGCGTCTCAGAGGATGCCTAGAAGAGCGAGCGCAAGCAACAGGCCAGCCGCATGTAAGACAATCCAGCCGGGCCGTGTCCCTTCAGGGTCAGCTGGCTGACCCGAGGAGGAGGAGAAAGAAGGGGGCCGAGCCCCGCGACGAGGGTAGCGGCACCGGTCACCTGCACCCGCCTCTCACGGACCGCGGGGCCAGGCGAGACAACGAAACATCGACGCGTCTGCGCCCCTTCTGCGCGAGTCTCGGCAAGGAGCAACCCTCCGTCCGTGTAAACACGTCACTCGCATAGCCGCTAAAATCGTGAAGGGCGGCCGGAAGGAGAACAAGGAGAAGAGGAGGAAGGAGGAGGGTAGGATGGGGGAAGAGGGGGAAGCCTCCACCCCACGAGCGGAGGAGGCTTCCCCCTGATGTGATGCTTTACTGTCGTGCCCAAGCTTGATCTGGTCTCCACTGGCTTCTGAAACCTGAATCATCCTTTTCCGCCTCCTCAAATTCCCTCATCCATCCTCCTCCCTACGATGTGCTTCCTCCCCTGCCCCTCCTCATCTTCCTAATGCTAGCCTTCGCCTCCCCCCCGTCTCCCGCCCTCGCCCCTCTTGTCATGCCTGCATGATTATCCCAGTGTCTTTTTGATTCCGGCATCCCCAAGCCACGCACCGAATCAAGCTCAACTGCAGGCCGCTGGACCCCCCTGTGGGGTCGAAGGTCTGCTCTCCCAGCTTCGTCATCAGTACAGTCGGGGCGCTGAAGAAGGAACCCTTTTCGCTGGGGAGGGGCTCGGTGTTCTTTGATTGTTTCAAAGTTTGCCTCGGGCTTTCCTGGGGTGTTCCATCGGAAATCGGGGTTGGACTTATGGGAAAAAGGGGCCTCGTTCCTTATGTAGGGTTCCTTGGGTCAACGCCTCGACTGTATTACCCCTCCTCGAAGCGGCGGCTGCCTGGCGCGGCACCGCCGGCTGCACCTCCCCCGCCACGTCTGCCAGCGCGCCGGGCAGGGGCGACACGGGGTCCGCGCCTGGCCACACGCAGCGACGATCGAAGCTCGACAACGGCGACGACGACGACGACGACGACGACGACGACGACGGACAACGACAATAACGGACGATCGACGAAGACGACGACGACGACGACGACGATGAAGGACGATGGCGGCGGCGGCGGCGACGACAACGAGTACGACAAAGGACGACGAAGAAAAAGGACAACGACGACGAGCGGCGACGACGACGACGATGACGACGAGTGACGACCGACGATCGGGGACGACGACTACGACAACGACGGAAAAGGCATCGCCTATACTTCGGCGACAGGCCCCCGATAGCGAAACCGCACGTTTCTCAGCGGGTTCAGGCCCCTATCGCTGATGAGTGGGCGATTGGGGGTCGCTGCACCCCCCTCGGCACATCCCCCCCTAGAGTTGCGGCTGATGGGCCCAAGCCCCGACCCCCCACCTGTCTAGGAGAAATAATATCCTGGCGACGGGCCCAACCAAATGTAGGGGTGAGTACCGCAAGGCAAATGGGACGAAATAACGGGAAACCTCTCTGGGGCCGGAACACGGAACGTGTGAGGGGCTCGCCGAATCGGGGGCGGGTACGCTATGCTAGCCTTGCCACTGGGGCCTTCAGCGGGGCGCCCCACGAAGTCGCGAAACATGTGAGGGGTGTGCCGAACTGGGGCGGTCATGTCATGCGAATCCTCCCGCCGGGGTCTTCGATTGAGCTCCCTATGGGAGCACGACACGTGTGACAAATGTGCCGGATTGGGCGCGACCCCCCCCAAAAAAAAAACTGAAGAACGGATCCAGGGGTAAACCCCCCAACCCCCTAACATCCCCACCCACCCCTGAGGGATGGTCCTGTGGGGGGGGGGAGGGGGAACCTCCGAACCGCCCCCGAATTGCTCAAAACACCCCCTGAGGAAGGGTTCCGAAGGGGAAACCACCCTACAGACCCCTGGGGGGGCACAGGGAGGGCTTCCCACGGGGAGTTCTGGGAACTGCCACGCCCTACTGGAACTCCCTACGGGGCCACGAAAAGTGCGAGGGGTGTGCGAAATTGGTGGCGGGTGCGCCGTGCGAACCCTGTCGTTAGGGCCTTCGGTGGGGCTCCCTACGGTGCCACGAACCGCGTCGGCCGCATTGGGCGCAGGTGCGCCATGCGAACCCTACCGCTGGGGTCTTCGGCGTAGCTCCCTGTGGGGTCACGAAACGTGGAAGAAGTGTGACGACACGGACGTACGGAGGGCAGGGGCAGGGATGGGAGGAAGGAGGAGCGGCAGGAAGGAGTGGCGCGGGGCGCTGTCTCTTCAAAACGAGGACACAACACCACAGCAATAGGTTTGGCATCAACTTTCCAGTGCCTGCGGGGATTATTCGGATCTGCCATGAGCACGCTCGTCCGATCTGGACAGGGGGAAACGAATGCAGAGGAAAAGAAGCAGGACCGAGGGGAAAACAAATTCTGAAAATTGCCCCATCAGCCGTGAACACGTCAGTACCTAAACGCTGTTATATTGTTATGGTATGTTCTGCTGCTGAGCATGTTTAGCTTTGTGTTTGTCGTTGTTGTTCAGTCTTAGTTAAGCAAGGCCCAAACAAAATGCGACAAGATCGTTCGATCCAAAACCAAAGAACCCAACGCACCATATCGAATGAAAAACAAAAGAAACACAGCAACACGCAACGCCAGCCCGACGTCAACAAAACCCGCAGCAGAACACGCGGGCGCCGAAGCGAAAGGGGGAAAACATCAGGGCACCAAATCAAAGGTTGCCGACGCAAAACTGAGCAGAGCAAAGCGGAAGCGAATGAGGAGGGAGGACAACGAAGGGGGGGGGGGCGGGGAAAGGCGAAGACGGACAGAGAAGGGGATGGCAAAGATAACAGGGAGGGCGGGGAGACAGCGACAATTGGAAGACAGCGAAACAAACGAAGGGTCAGGAGCAGCCTCTGGCTTTGGATGGGGCACCTCTCGCGCTCTTCGCCGTGGGCTCTCTGCCGTGGACCCCTCTCCATCTCTGGGGCGCCTCCGACGGGGCCCAGCGCGGATCCAGGAAGCCCGCACGGGCCCTCGGAAGACTGTGCTCGGGCCGCGCTGCCCCTCGCCTGTCGCAGCGGCAACGGCAGCGACGACGGCGATAATTGAAGGGGCCCTGGGACACACAAATAAATACACACACATAAAATGGTTCCCTACAGTTTCCCATATGTTCTGGGTTTTGTCTTCCCGCCCAATTCTCATATTTTTCCATATTTTCTTGGGGATCGGCGATTAATTGTGTCTGTGTGTTTCTTCTGAATAATGGCGGCGGCCACGGACGCCGACGGCAAGACGGCGGCAGCCACGCCCCCTCACAGCTTGGCCAGGAAGGCAACACTCACCGATCATTGAATCAGGATCGGCTTGGCCAAGACTTGCCGTCGCTCGAACCCCCATTTCCCGTGCGTGTTTCGGTTTCGTGCGTGTTTTGTTTTGCGATGGTCCAGGATGGTCCTCGATGGTCCTCGCCGAGAAAAAATGCACACGTCCCAGCGATGCCAGGGCACATGTGAGGGGCCACGATAGGGGGGGCAGTTCAGGGTGGGAAGCATCGAGCTATGATTCCGCGATACATCGCCGACTGATCGGCGACGGGCCCCCGACAGCAAAACCGAAAGTTCCTGGGCGGGGTTGGCTATCAGGCCCCCATCGGAGATCAGTAGGCGGCTGGGGCTCGATGAATCCCCCAATGAGCCCACCACCCCCTTCACACTGAAACTCGTCCGAGAGATTCCCTTCGCCTGGCTTTCGGATTCTGACTCGGTCCTCTGGCGGCCATTCGGGGCGATCTGGGCGACCCCAGAACGCTCCCTGCGAGCCGCAGCTGCTGGAGGGCACCCCGAGGCAGCAGAGCAGCCAAGAACCGACGATTTTCCCGACCCCTCGAACGCGAAACTCTTCCCCCTATTTGGGGGAATCAACAGATACCGCTACTCCCCAGGCTTCTCCCAGGGGGCGTTCTGACGAGAATTTCGAAGCTAATCCAGCCCTGGCGGCGAGTGCCTCCCAGGAGACCCCAAAAGACGAAACATGGGAAGGGTGGCTGTATTGGTACCTCTTCCGCCTCTGACTTACGCTGCACCCGAGTGAATTCCCAGGCATCCTCCGATATTATTTTTTCAATCGGCGGCCCCAGGAAGGCCCCGACCCATTCCCTGGGGGTAGCTTTCCACCCCGGATCAGTGTTCGATGCCCCCATGGCCCGAAAACGGGCCCTGGAGGCCAAAATGGCTGGAAAGCGCTGGGATTGAAACATCATGCCTGAGTGGCACCGAGAAGGGGGGGGACTGGCATAGGGGGGGACATCGACCTGGAATCGGCGAGACATCGCCGATAGGCCGGCGACAGGCCCCCTAGGCAGGTTGGTGCTATCGGGCCCCCATCGGCGATCAATAAGCGATTGGGGGTGGATGCATCCCCCCCCTACCTGCGCCCATCCCCTCTCACATTACCCCTGAATGCCGTCGAAGATCTGGGGCCTGCGGTCCCCCATACGGCGCGGGCCCACGCGCGACGACCGACGGCCCACGGCCTACGGCGACGGCCCGACGATCGGCCAGCGACCAGCGGGCGGGCGGCGACGTCTTGGCGGTCTCCACACGCGGTTCCCGGAAGCTCCGACCCTTTCTGGGTGGCGACATCCCAAACCTACCCTCGCCAACCATCGATTCTCTCGAATCGACGGGAGAAAAGGGTAGGGATCGGATGTCGCAACGGGTTCGACGAAGTCGGAACCGCCCGTCGAGTTTCATGCGAGGGTAGGGTTCGGATTTCGCCGCCGACTTTCCCCAGGCCCTTCTGGCGACTCGCACAAGGGGGTAGGGGGAGGGGGGAGGGCTTCGCAGGAGGAGGTGGCTTCTTAGAAGGTGCCAGCCTCACATCTGCAGGCAAGGCCCGCGCCTTCGAAGAAGCAGGTTGCTTCTGAGAAGCCTTCCCCCCCCCCCCTCCCCCCGCCCCCTTCTGCGCGTGGCAGGTCCTGCCCGCAGGCCCTCCAGCGACCAGAAGACCTTCTTGGAAGCCCACGAGCCCGTCTGAGATTAGGTCGGGCCTGTCCCCCTACAGGGGGATCTTGGGCGAAAAATTAAAAAAGTATTCGAAAAATACCCCCGAAATGCTCAAACATGATCAAAAAATCGTCCCCGCACTTTTCTTTTACTATTTTTGAATATCCCCCCATGTAGAGGGACAGGCCCGACAGCCGCCCGCCTTTTTCTATAGAAGCCCCCCCGCCCTTCTGAGAGGGCCGCTCCCCTCGCGTCGCCACCTGTACCGCGGGCCGCCGACGTGACTTCATGCACAACGTGGGCCCCCAGATGTCTGGAGGCTAGGCCTCCAGGCCCAGACTCCCCAAGACCCCGTCAAGTCATGAACTCAATCACGAGGGAAGAGTTTCGCTCTTTTCGGCCACTGGTGGCCCATACCGGCCTTCGGGACCGTCAACAAAACGACTCGGGACGAGGAACTGGTCCCGGGGAAGTGGTCGAGATCTCCAGGGGTCGACGCCATCAGAAAGTCATGACGTCGGGGCTCCTTGGGGAAGGGGTCTGGACTCTGGACCCATCCCCCAGGATAACTCACCCCGAGCCGGTCTCTGACTGCCCCTGGGCCCGGCAGGGGGGGGGGACCCAGAGGCCGAAAACGGCCAACAACCTCCTCCTCCTCCTCCTCCTCCTTCCTCCTCCTCCTCCTCCTCCTCCTCCTCCTCCTCCTCCTCCTCCTCCTCCTCTTCCTCCTCCTCCTCCTCCTCCTCCTCCTCCTCCTCCTCAACTGGCTCGAACAGAGCCTTCCACCCGTTCCTTATGGCCGACTGCTCGGCTTGGGCTCCCTGTGAACAGCTGGAAACTGCGGGAAGCCGACTTGGGCCTGCCTGCGTACGCGAGGCGGGCGCAAGATGTGCACGCTGCCATCCAACATACGAACTCCTTCGAGCATGCCTAAACGAGACTAGAGTGCATGTCCTGGCCTGACCGTTTTGGGCACGGCCGTTTGAGGCATGCCTGGTGGTGCCTTCACGAGTCGAAGGGTACCCGATGCTGGGCGTCGGGGAAACGCTCGCTCAAAAATTAGGTTGGGTCGATTATGGCAAGCGGTTCCCCCCGCGAATCGCCAACGGCAACTTCCCGCGACTCTTGGAGCTCTCAGAAACCTTCCGCGAACAGACACCCGATACGATTACTGCAAGCCAGATTAACAACACACCTTCGCAACTAAAGTATCAAACGAGATCTAACAACAAGCGTGGCTTCGAATGGCATCAAAAGACATCTCAAAAAAAACAAGATTCAAAAGCATGGTGGCCCCTAAAACCGAACCACAGAACCAATCACCAGAGAGTCGGCGAAAGAGCCCCCAGACACGTAGCGAGTCCGAACGCCCCTGGGCGGGGTGGGCTACCGAGCCACTATCGGCGGTCAGTGGGCGATCGGGGGCCGACGAATCCCCCCCTTACCCCTTAGCCTGTGCCCCCAAACGTTGCCGCCCTTAGCCTATGTCTGTGTCCCCCTTAGCCTGTACCCCTTAGCCTGTGCCCCCCTTAGCCCTTAGCCTGTCCCCCTTAGCCCTTAGCCTGTCCCCCCTAGCCCTTAGCCTGTGCCCCCCGTAGCCTGTGTCCCCCCTTAGCCTGTACCCCTTAGCCTGACCCGAGAGATCCGCGTCGTTTGGCTTTCAAGTCCTACCTCGGGTCTCCGGCGGCCGTTCGGGATCCGGGCGCCCCTGGAGCGTCCTGTGCAAGGCGCAGCCGCCGAGGGCGCCCCGAGGCTGGAAAGCCGCCGAGGAGCAGCGAAAGCGTCCGGGAGCCTCGACACTCGAAGTCGTTCGACTGACGTTCCCCCGCCTATCCCCCTAACGCTCGCCATCGCTCGGACGTCCATTCCCCGTGTTTGTTTGTTGGTTTCGTGCGTGGCTTTTTCGCCAAATGATCAAGGATGCTCCTCGATGGTCCTCGCCGAGGAAAACACGCACACGCCCGAGCGATACCAAAAACGTTGACAACAGTCAGGACCCGTTCTCCTCGGAACCCCCCTGCCCTGCATGAAGCCTACGTCTTCCTTTTCGCCATAGCGCCCGTTGCCGCCCCCACCCCCCCACCCCCGGGACAGCCCCGAATCGACTCAATGAGTCGGATCGGCGATCAAAAGGAATCGGATCGGCGGAAACTCAGCAGCCGAGTGGGGAGAGATGTCGACTCGGCGGAAATCGGAAAGCCAGCCAGTCGGGCCAGCAAGGAGAATCCGGAATCTGGATCGGAATCCGAAATCGAATCGAATCGGTATCGGAGGCCTCCGAAATCGAATCGAATCGAATCGGAGGAATCGAAGTGAGCCCTGCCCACCTCACGCTGCACCTGCAGAAAGCCAACGTAGAGCATCTGGGCGCCACTTGCTGGATACACACGCGGAGGCCTGGCCTACACGGTCACAGAACGGCCGAGCGCTGGAAAGACATCCGCACACGTGTGCATCCAGCTCTCGCCAAGGCTGGCCACGCCATGTGCATCCAGCTTCCTGGTACGTGAGGCGTCGAAGATCCAGATAGCGAAGCAGACCTGGGCGCCCGAAAGCTTCTGGGAGACGCTTGCAGGTAGGCTTCAAAGGACGCCCAGGGAGCTTGCAAGCTTGAGATGGGAGCTGCGAAGGAGCTCAGGAAGAGCTGCGAAGGAGCTGCGCACAGGCTTGCGGCACGCGCATTGGGAACGACTAGGAAACACACGCTTCCAGGACACGCTGCGAGGCCCGGCATGCCGCCGCGATGTTGGTTGACCGGCGCTGGAACGAGCTCCGCGGCTACCCTGGCGGCCAGCTTCTAATATATAAGCCTATTGGACCTTCAAGGAGCAATCGGGGAATCATTCGCGTCTGCGCCCGTTGCCGCCATCCCCCCCTAACGTTACTCCTGCAGAAAGCCCACGTGGACCGACGGCCAACGGTCGGCGAGCGCGCGGCGAGGTCGACTGGCGGCAACCGGCGCACCTGCCGGCGAGGACCCGCTCGGGCTCCGGGCGCCGCAGCACGGCGGCGTGCCCCTGGGCTCGGCTCGGCTAGGCTCGGTCGACGACGACGACGACGACGACGACAAGGACGACGTCGCCGAGGACGACGACGACGACGACGACGAGGACGACGACGACGACCACCACCACCACCACCACGACGACGGCCGACAGCCGACGACAACGACGAAGACGACAACGACGACGACGACGACGACGACGACCAGGACGACGACGACCAGGACGACGACGACGACGACGACGACGACGACGACGACGACGACGACGACGACGACGGCGACGGCGAACACGACCAAGACCACGACGCTCGAAATCGGTTCCGAAGCCCCTCACGGGGTCCTTCCTGGCCCGTCTTCCGAGGCGCATCCAGCCGTGGCGACCAGAAGCCTCCGGGAGGCCCGAGGAAGAACGAACAAGCACTGGAGGGGCCCTGGGACACACAAACAAATACACACAAATAAAAAGATTCCCCATATTTGTCAAATTTTGTGGATTGCCGTCTTCCCCATATTTTCCCATATTTTCTGGGGGGTCGAAGCTTAATTGTGTCTGTGTGTTTTTGTGTCCCTCCTGAAGCACGCCAGGGAAGGCCGCCGCCTCGACGGACCATCGTCCGATCACGGGCTCTCAGGGTCCGACACGGACCCTGAGAGCCCTCACGCGGCCGATCGGGACAACCCCAAAACTCTCCGAAAACCTTCGAAGGCAAGGCGGTCCCGACGAGTGCAGGCCCCCCCCCCTTCTTCCTGCCAAGCCTCCGCCACAACTCCCCGCCACCGCCGCAGCCGTCGCCGTTGCGCGCGAAAACCTCCGCCGTCGTCGTCGTCGTCGTCTTTTTCCGTCGTCGTCGCCGACGCCGCCGCCGCCGCCGTCGCAGCCGTCGTCGTCTCGCGCGAAAGCGTCCGTCTTCGTCCTTCTCCGTCGTCGTCGGCGCCGCCGCCGCCGCCGTCGTCCTCGTCGTCGTCGCCGTGGCCGGCGCCGTCGTTGTCGACCGTCGTCCATCGATGTGCCCGTCGATCGTCGTTGTCGATCGTCGTCGACTGCCGCCACCGCCGCCACCGCCGCCGTCGTCGATCGCCGTAGACCGCCGCCGCCGTCGTCGTGCACGGAGACGGCCGCGCACGTCGGTCGTCGATCGTCGTCGTCGATCCCCAGGCATCCAGACGCTCCAACTCGTGTCTGGACCACTTCCCTGGGGTCGGTTCTTCGTCCTCCATTCTTTCTTGTGACGGTCTCGGGGCCCGGCGAGGGCCCCCAGAGGCCCAAAACGGCCCAAAGCCCGCCGCTCCAACTACTGTTGGAGCGTCGGATCTCTGGGTCATCTCGGGCCGGGCGAAAGGGGGGGATAGCAAAGGGGGGGTTTGAGAATCAGCTCACGGAGCTGATTTTCCTCGCGCCTCCTGGCGCCGGGAGGCGCCCATGTATCGAGGAACGGGCCCAGCGGCGGGGCCGACACCAGCTGCATGCAGCAGAGTTCGTAACCCCCCCTTTCCCTATCCCCCCCTTTCGTTCGGCCCGATCATCGTGAACGTCGTCGTCGTCGTCGCCGATCGCTGACAGTCGTCGATCGCGGACCGCACCAGCAGCGCAGCGCCTGGTGGGCCGCGGCGGCCGAGGCGAGGCGTGGCGCGGCAGCGCCGGCGGGCGCGGCACGCGCGGCCCGGCCGCCATGCCGCCCCCGACGGGCAGGCGCCTGGGACCCCTGCGAGGAGCGAGGAGCGACGACGACGAGGACGACGACGACGACGACGACGTCGACGACGAAGACGACGACGACGACGACGACGACGACGACGACGACGACGACGACGACGACGACTGACGACGACGACGACGACGACGACGACGACGACGACGACTGACGACGACGACGACGACGACGACGACGACGACAACAACGACTGACGACGGCCAGACCCCACGAGCCGTGAAAGAGCATGACGGGAAATGTTGGTTGTTTTCCGCCTCGGGGGGTCTCGCTGGGCCCCGTGGCTGTCAAAAAGCCTCTGGGGGTCGGGTCGACGCACGAGCCCCAATCTAGACGGAGGAGTGGCGGGCGAGCGACGAGCGGCGGCGGCCAGCGCAAACGACGACGACGACGACGACGACGACGACGACGACGACGTGACGGCAGTGGCGGCGGTGGCGACGGTGGCGGGGGCGGCGGCGGGGCTGGCGGCGGCGGCGACGACGACAACGACGACCGACGGCGACGGCGACGGCAACGACAGCGACGGCGGCTCTGGTGTTGATGACGAAGGCATCAGTCACAACCACAAGGCCAATCGGACCCCCTTTGGGGGAGACTCAACGCTTTCATGCCAGCTGCTGGGCGCACCCCGGCAAAGCAAGGCGGGCGGCCCGGGAGGGCGGACGCAAGCAAGCGATTCGGGCGGACGGACCCGAACGATCAGACAGACGAAACCGGCCACATGTTTAGGGATACCCCTGCAGACCGCGGACCCGAGTCAGGCCGCGAAGTCAATGTGCAGTCAGGGATAGGGTTTGCATTATGCTCAATGATTTATCCAGCCTCGAACTTATCCCTATCCCTAAGCTGGGCATCGCCTCATCACGATGCCAATCCTAGGGATTCCCTTATTCTTTGAGGGCGCATCCCTAAGACTGTCGTCGCCTTCTGGCGTGTCCATCTTAGGTGATCGGGATAAGTTCGAGGCTGGTGAATCATGCCCAGCGGTCGGACGCGCGGGTCGGGCGCGCGGACCCAAACAGGCGGGGACGGGCTGGCGGGCGGGCTCTCCCGGGCAGGCAGAGCTGCGGAAGTCCCAGCGGGGCAGGCGGGGGCGCCCCGCTCGGGCGGCGTCGGGCGAGCGGCGGGCCCGGCGGGCCCGGCGGGCGGGGCACCTGGGCTCACGTCGGGCGGGGTCCCCCTACAGGGGGATGTTCGACCAAAATGCTCCAAAAGAAAGGCAGAAGATACTCAAAAAATAGTCCCCAGGCTAGTTTTGGACTATCTTTGGACTAGTTTAGGGGGTATTTTTTATTTGTTTTTCGTCGAAAATCCCCCAGTAGGGGGACAGGCCCGACTTAAACCTGGGCGTGTTCCTCACCAAATCGTGAAGCACCTCGGGCGAGAGCGCGAGTGCTGGGTAAACGGAAGTCCTGGGCGAGAGCCACAACTCTGAGTGGCGAGGGCGCCAGTCCTGAATAGACTGCGCTGAGCTCCAAGGCGACAGCACGACCCCTGAACGGCAAGAGAGCGACTCTGAAACGAATGCTGGTGATATATCAAGCAAGCTGTGGAAAGCAGAGAAGTCTAAGACGGGAGCCGCTGATGCTGTGTAGCCGGGAGCCCAGGGGCACAGCTTGAGCTCACGACTGTCCCTGACCAAAGCCGAAGGTGCAGAAGGCGAGGGGCGCACCTCAATGAAGAACACTGCGCATACATGAAACGAAAGCTGGACGGCAATTGAAAGGCGACGTCCATGACCGCGACCGGGACGACCACGACCAAGACCACGAAGAAGACCACGACCAAGACCACGACGACGACGGTGAACACGACCACGTGTAAGACCACGACGCTTCCGGGGCCCACCCTGACATGTTTTCCGAGGAGCCTCCAGGAGGCCAACGAAGGACGAAGAAAACCGCCAGGGAGGAAGCCGGAGTCTGGACGGACCGTCCTCCGAACACGGACCCTCAGGACCGACAGGGACCCTCGCCACTCCTGTCTTCCGGACCATACTAGTGGGCCCTGGGGCACACAAATAAACAGACACAAAAAAACAGGATTCCGCGTATCTTCCCACATTCTCTGGGTGTTCGTCTTTCCCCCCCACTTCCCATATTTTCCTATATTTTCCTGGGAGGCGACGATTCTCGGCGGCGGACAAACCTCCCTTCAGCAAACCGCCCTTTAATGAAAACGGCCCGGGAACGAAACCGACGGCCCTGGACCCGCAGAAACGGCGGCCGCGACGCCCCCTCGCGAACCGAGAACGGCCAATTCCTTGATCGACGCGTCAGGGTAGGAGGTCTGTCCAGCCCCGAGATGATTCATCGTCCCCCTTCAGGGTCGGCGGCATCGGCCGTAAGGCCTTCGCAATAGCAGGATCCCCCATATCTCCCCACACTCTCTGGGTGTTCGGCTTCCCCCCCACTTCCCATATTTTCACATCTTTTCCTGGCAGGCCCCGAGATTCCTCGTTCCTATATTTTCCAAATATTTTCCCATATTTTCCTGGCAGGCCCCGACGATTCCTCGCACCTGCGTGTGTGCTTTTTGTTGCCCCTCCCGACCTGCCTCGGGCCTCGGGCGGCCGTGCGGCACCGACGTCTCTGGCCGCCCCCCCCGCCGGAGCGCCCGCGACGAGGCGCAGCGGCTGGCCACCACGCCGGGGCCCCGAAGCCATCGGAGAACCTCCGAGGGAGGATCCGTCCCCAGAAAAAAAACACCTCTGAAGCAGGGCTCCTCGCCGTGGACCTCTCGCGCTCCTCGCCGTGGGCTCTCCGCCGTGGACCCCCCTCCGTCCCTGGGGCGCCTCCGACGGGGCCAGGAAGCCCGCACAGGCCCTCGGAAGACCGTGCTCGTGCCGTGCTGTCCCTCGCCTGTCGCAGCGGCAACGGCAGCGACGACGGCGATAATGGCAGGGCTCGAGTTAAACAATGTTTTCCGTTTTCGTTTTGTTTTCGTCACCCCTAGTTCTGTCCTCGTTCCACATCTGCTGCCAAACGAAGCCAAAACGAAAACGGTCCACGAAATTGCCAAAACACGGTTTAGCTCGAGCCCTGCTCTGAAGGGGCCCTGGGACACACAAAGAAATGCACACAAAACTAAGAGGATTCCCCATATTTTCCCACATTTTCTGGGTTGCTGTCTTCCCCCCCATTTCCCATATTTTTCCCACACCGGGCCCCGAAGTTCGGGTCGGGCGAAAGGGGGGGATAGCAAAGGGGGGGGGGGGGAGAATCAGCTCACGCAGCTGATTTTCCCGGCGCCGGATGGAGCCATGTATCGAGGAATGGGCCCTTCGGTGAGGCCGAAACCAACTGCATGCAGCAAATTTCGGACCCCCCCCTTTTTGAATCCCCCCCTATCGTCCGGCCCGAGAAGTCATCGGATAACCCGAGGGAAGATCCGCCCCAAAACCCAACCTCCGAAGGGGCCCTGGGACACATAAATTAATGCACACACGAAACTAAGAGGATTCCCCACATATTTTCCCATACTTTCTGGGTTGCTGTCTACCCCCCCACTTCCCATGGTTTCCCAAATTGTCCTAGGGATCGAACCTAAACGGTGTTTTGCGTTTTCGTTTTGTTGTCGTTCTCCCTCGCTTCTGCCTCGAATCTGCCTTAACCGCAAAACGAGGTCGAAACGAACGGCCCACGAAATCGCCAAAAACACCGTTCAGCTCCAGCCCTGAGCCGAAGACCTCCGGAGGAAGAGCAGTCCCAAAACCCAACCTCCTCGGCCGCTCCCGCCGTCGCCGCGGCCGTCGCCGTCGCGCACAGGCGCCTCCGCCGCCGTGGTCGTCGTCGTCGTCGCCGTCGTCATCGTCGTCGTCATCATCGTCGATGGGCGTCGCCAACGTCGTCGATGAACGCCGTCGCTGCCGCCCCCGCCGCCATCGTCGTCGACGACCGACGCCGTCGCCCCACACCGTTTCAGCGGCGCGCAGAGGGGGGCAGGGGGAGGGGGGAAGGCTTCTTAGAAGGAGGCTGCTTCTTAGAAAGCGCTGGCCTCACATGTAGAGAGAAGGCCCGCGCCTTCTAAGAAGCAGGGGTGCTTCTAAGAAGCCTTCCCCCCTCACCCCACCACCCTCTGCGCGCGGCCGACCGCCCTCCGGCTGCAACGCCCACGCCCCTCCGCAGGCAGGGTCCGCGGCCGAGCGGCCGAGGGGGCGCTCGCGCGGGCGCGCGCGCGGGGGGGCGCGAGACCCGCAGCGGCCGCTGGCCGCTGTCGTGGCCGCTGTCGTCGCCGCCGTGGTCGTCGTCGTTGTCGTCGTCGCCGTCGCCCTCGTCGTCGCAGCTGCCGCCGCCGCCACTGCCATTGTCGTCGCCGTCGCCGCCGCCGTCGTCGCCGTCGCCGTCGCCGTTGCCGTCGCCGAGGCCATCGCTGTCGCTTTCGCCGTCGTCGTCCTCCACGTTCTGATCGTCCGTCCTCGTTCTCGTCGTCTTCCTCGTCCTCGTCCTCGTCCTCGTCCTCGTCGTCGTCGTCCTCCTCCTTCTCGTCGTCGTCCTCGTCCTCGTAGTCCTCGTCCTCGTCCTCGTCATCGTTCTCGTCCTCCTCCTCGTCCCCGTCCTCGTCCTCATCCGCCTCCCTCGTGATCCTTGTCTCGTCCCCGCGCGGCACAATATAGCAGATTCCAAAGGACCTGCTCCAACCGGTCTTAGCTAGGCCAGGACGCTTGTCCGCACTAGTGGTCCCTCGCTCATTCGCGCCTCCTCCTCCCTAACATCTTCGAGTCGTGGAAGTCAGGGCGGGAAGATGTGCGCCATTTCCGGCCTCCCCCTTACCTGGCCCCAGGATCGTCAAAGAACGACTCAGGATGGAAACTAGATCCCCGTTACGGGGTCCAAAATTGATGTAAAGCCATTCGGCGTTGGAACATTCGGATGTCTGGGTCGTCATCATCATCTGACCCATTCGACTCCGACTCCTCCGACTCGGATGTCCTCCGACTCGGCACCCCTCCTCCTCCTTCTCCTCCTCATCCTTCGCCGTGTCCTGCTCCTTCTCCTCCAACTCCTCTCTTTCTTTCTTTCGCAGCGGTTTTGAGCCCATACATCTCGCTGGTGATACCCAAGGACAGAAAATCAGCTACATGAGAAAATGGCGGATTGCCAAACATCGGCGTCGTTTGCGCGTTGCGTGGGGTATCTTGGGGCTGCATGCCGGCCGGCACTCTGCCAGCAATATAATCACGAGCAGAATCCCAATGGTAACGCATTGCTAAGCATTGACTTCTAAACTGCTCCGGGCCTTCACTGGATAATACTTGGCACACGCCGCGACGATTGCAATGTAGGAATCAGCGCGCTGGCCTTTGAGAATCCAAGCGTGTGCAAATGCATTTTGTTCGTTGCGACAGCCCCCATCGCTCCACTCCAGTGGTCTGAGACCTGAGTCGGCCGTAAGTGTGATGCCACTAGAATACCAGAAATCGCCCTCTGTGTCCATTACCCAGTTCTCTAAAGAATCAGCTTCTTTGTTAAAAGCCCTCCGTCTCCATATAACTGGATCGCCCGTTGCATCTCTTGGCCCCCAATTCGCGGCGAGGAGCGCGTCCGCCATGTTCGCCGAGATGTCCGCTGCGAGGCCACGAGTATGTTCTTCATGCTTTGCCCTGCCAGCAAGAATATCTGCCAATATCTGACTATCCGTAACAATCTGTAGTGTGCGGGCTCGTCCTAGACAGAGGTATGTTGCCATGTATTGCGCAAGCCCTCCAGGCAAATCTCGAAAAAAATGCCAATGTTGTGTGGCGATGTGTTCCGTCAGTGTCCTCCGTTTCCTCCCGTTCCCTGCGGCGGTCGGCATAGACGCCGGAGGCGAGATAAAAGGCTTTAAGTTCAAACCCACATAATTCCCGATTGCCTGGAAAAGCGAAATCTGTCTCTGATGCCAACACCGCGAATCCTGGATGAATCATACCTTCCACTCCGGGTCGGCTTTGTCCAATAGATCCTCCCAATGAGTCCTCGTTCCTCCGTGCTGGTGCCGCCAACCTGAAGTATTACGATTGTCCGTGTGCTCTCCGATGAGCTGCACGATGTTCTTCTCCGCGGATGGGCGCGCGTTCATGTAGAACTTCAACGGCTGGGTGCCATCGTCCAGGGCGACATGCCACACAGTGTTCAACCATTTGAACATGGATCTCAAAACTCGCACGTAGATCGGCGCAACCTTATGCCGAGAAAACAAAATATGTATGAGCAAGTTGGTCCTGATGTTGTACTGGTGCATGCTGCATTTCGTGCTGCCCCGCTTGTCCAATAGCACACCCAACACTTCAAGTTCAGATGCGACCTTCAATTCGTACGTGATGCCGTCAGGCAGGTTTACCTGCCGGTCGGAATTGTAAAAGAGATTGCTACCAGGCATGAAGTATAATTCATTCTTCTTCCATTGCAAAGCACACTTGTAAATACAAGCTGAAACATCGATAAATATCTGTTCAAGCTGGGCGGCCGACTCCTCGACCAAGTAAACGTTATCTGCCCAAATTGCGTGGTTGATCCTGGGGTCTCCGTCGAACGAGAACCCTACCCCTGCGGAGTTCCAGTGGCGCACCAATTCTTGCAAAATGTACTCTAAGAGGAAATTCCAACAAGTAGGGGTCTCCGTTCCGCCTTGCCGACCTCCCTGATTCACTGGAATACCCGATGCCTCCGCGACCTCAGGAACAACAGCAACAGCGGTCAGTCCGACGAGCTCTCGAATAATGGCAGCCGCGATGTGTCCAGGAACTCCGCGAACAACCAGTGCATCCAGTGCGAGTTCGGGAACCATGGAATCAAAGGCTGTTTTCACGTCGAATGATCCGATCACAACTGGCGGACCCCACTCGTGGGACAAGAACAGCAAGTGACGGAAGAGCTCTGTAATCAAATGCGGGCTCCGACCCTCTCGAAAACCATACGTGCATACATTGCATGGCGTACGGAACCTCAATGCAACGAGTACCAAGCTTTTGAGATATCACTTATGTAGAACAGGCGATTTACAAATAAATCGAATATTACCAAAATCTTTGACCTGGGTGATCTTGGGGATTCCCACCAACATCCACCCACAACTTCCAAGAACTAGGAACTTCGCCAACACCCCGTTCTGACAACAATCTAAAATAAATCCATATCAGAATCATCATTGGGAAACATACGCTTTTCCAAATCTCTCCAACGATCCCGTTTTTGCCCCCAGCCGAACCAATAGTCAACGCCGCTCTGGAATGGAGCACGTCTGCGAACGTGATGCCTGCTTTGGGGTGCCCGTCTAATTCATTAGCTCGAGCGGCGCTCTGGATCCGATTCAGCTTGTTCTCCAGGCTATCTTCGCCATCGTTCTCGTCCTCTTCCGTAATCTCCTCCTCCTGCTCCACCTCATCATATGTTCATCTCACGTCCTCCTCGTCCTGCTTCTTTTTCTGTCCCTGAAAGTTTCCTTCTGCTCGATCCTATTGTTCCTACTCCTGCGGCGTCTCCTCCTTAGAACCATTCCACTTACTCATAGCAAAATCCCGACCTTCACGAATGCCTCTTGCATCATTGGGGTCGTCGTCCAGGGTCGACGGCAACGGCCGTAAGGCCTTAGCCATAACTCCATCAAATACTATGTCGGGCGTGTCCCCCTACAGGGGGATTTCCGACGAAAAACAAAAAATACTCCAAAAATGCCCCTCAAAGGTGGAAAATACTCAAAAAAATAGTCCCCTGACTATTTTTTATAATTTTTTGACTATTGTTGGAATATGTATAATTTGTCGTCGAAAATCCCCCTGTAGGGGGACACGCCCGACTTAAATCAAATACTACGTTCCTCCTTTCAGCATGGGCGCCTGGCCGTCGGCGTGACAGATGCGCTGCAGGAAGGGGACGGGGAGCACACTGCGCGTGAGAGGTCGGCACGCCCCTCGCGCATCGGCGCCACGCTTACCTGCCCTCAGAATTGAACTCCCGCTGGCGCGCGGCGCACGCATTTCGCTCGCTAGGGGGCCACATGCGAACCCTACCCCTACCCCCCACGATTTCTGAGGGGGAGGGTGGGGTTCACTTCGTCGGGAGCTCCCGGGCGAAGTGAACCCCACCCTCCCCCTCAGAAATCGTGAGGGGTAGGGGTAGGGTTCGCATGTGGCCCCCTACTCGCCGAATCGTCGACGCGCGAGCCAACGGAAATGTCACTCTCGTCTCGGCAGCGCGCAAGCTTCGCGCGATCCGGCCCGTGCGCAGCCCGCGATGTTTCCCCCCGCCGAGTGCGTCGGAAGAGGGGCCGCGCGCGGGCGATGATCAGTTCGCCGGGTGGATACGCGTCTAGAGCCAATGTATATATATATATATATATGTATGTATATATATATATATATATATATATCAGGTTGTGCCGACACCAAGCATGATGTGTATGGGCGGGACCCGCTGGCTCCTTCGGCATGGCTAAGTTGGCTCCCACTCGCACTCTGGGTCCTGCTCATACCTCCTACTCCCACTGACTCCTACTCCTCATCCTCGCCAACCCTCCCCTCTTACTCCTCATCCTCCTCCTCTTCCTTCTGCTCGTGGTCATGTTCCTACTACCCTTCCTAGTCACGCCTACTTCGAGGAGGAGGGGGAGGGAGGGCCTTGGATTGATCACCTAGGTTCGGATCTATGCCATTTATTGCGTCGTCGGCATCGTCAGCCGCTCTAATGGCCACGAGGTGAACTGGAGAGGTTCTCATCAGCAACACACGCGTCGTCGGTCGTCGACTCTACTGACAGCGGCATCGCTACCCTGTTCGCTGAGGAGGCCACGAGGAGAATCATATGGGATGAAGGCTGACTCGACTGGGAAGTCAGATCCTTCCGACGTCGTGCACAACGCCCCAGGCTCACGGGAGACATACTGCTGGACGGCAGGCGCTGGCCATACAGAGCGCGGGGAAGCAGCGGTGCTAGGTCCAGTAGATTCAAGGAGGAGCAGGAGACTCACCTATCAGCATTACCACCGCGCTAGCAGCCGCGGTCGCCTTGGCGCGCTTCAGCTCCTCCTCGGCGCTGGCGAGCTTAGCCTCTCGAAAGAGGGATGAAGAAGCAGTGCAGAAAAAGCCCTAAAAGGAGGAAGGGCGATCTAGCCCTGAGGCGAAGGGTCCTGAAGAATGTAATTAGCCCACCCAAAAGGGGCAAGAGAAGATGGGGTCGGAGGGTCGCACCGCCGATGTGGACCGATCATCCGATTCTATATTATGATCGGGCCCCATCTGAGCAGTCTGGAGGAGGATCCCCAACCTGGGGGACTCCCCTGAGGCATTGATGAGGCCTTCCTGAGGCTTCCTGGATGTCAGGCACCAAGGAAGCCCCCGAGTTTGGGCCACCTTTCCTTGGCGATCGACTCGCTATCCATACCCCTGCTCACGCTGGAACTCTGCGAGGGGGCGCAACAAGGGCATGGATAAAAGTCCAGCCTCGAGGGACCATATCATCTGGAGTCCCGAAACGGTGCGGTGACAGACCGTGCGGTGACCTCGGAACCCCAAAAGACCTCACCGCACGGTCCCTCACCGCACGGTTCTGGGACTCGGAGGCCCTGTCGCCCGAGAGACATCCCCGGAGAGGGCCTCGAGCCCCAAAACCGTGCGGCGACCCCGAATCCCCACCGACTCACCGCACGATGTGGTCACCACCCCGTTTGGGGGCCCCCAAAATTATGCATGTGCCGCGGACCCTGGCCTCCGGGGCAAGCACCACAAATCCATTGTGTCTGTGGCGTGCCCCTCCCCCTTGGCTATGGGCGGAAGTTCGATCGCCAAATCTCTGGTGAGGTCCAGGTACGTGGGGTCGGAGGTCGCGTCGCATCGTCGATGCATCGACGATGCCTCGGCGACGCCGGCGTGTAGAAGATCGGGCCCCACACAGAGCCGCATCGCCGGTGCATCGGCGACGTGGCGCGGTCTACTCTGATCCCATCTAGTGGGGGCAACGATAGAGGGGGGGACTGGCAGAAGAGGGAATGCATCGACCTGGAATCGGCGACACATCGACGATAGATCGGCGGTCGGCCCCCGATGGCGAAGCTGCACGCTCCTGGGCGGGCTTGGTCTATCGGGCCCCATGGGCGAACAGTGCGCGATTGGAGTCGATGCCTCCGCCCCTATGCCTATCCACCCCTGCACCCCTGACGTTGCGACTAGCCCGAGAGATCCTCGCCGTCTGGTCTTCGGATCCTACCCGAGGCCTCTGGCGGCCGCCCCGGACGATCCAGGCAAACCCTGGAAAGCCCTCGGCGAAGCTGTTGGAACGCGCCCTGAGGCTGGAGAACCTCCGAGGACCCACGAAAGCATCCGAAAGCCTCGAACCTCGAACCTCCGTCCCCTTGGGCTTATCCCCCCTGACAGCGATGCTGAAAACGCGTTGACGCTCAAATCGAAAAACAACACGAAACCGAACGTTGAAAATGACTGCTTGGAAACATCCACCCCCATCGCTTCCCCCGATCTAGAAAGCCCGGACTGTCCCTCATGGTCAAGATCTGGGCACCGGCGCGCGGAGGGGGGGCCAGCACGTGCCACCGGCGCAGATGCGCGACCTCGGCTGCGGGCTCTGCCCAGACCCCCGACGCCCCGATTCGGCGGCGAGCCCAGGGGGGGAAGTCTTCGTCTTCGGACGTTTCTGGATGCCTTCGAACGTTTTCGTCTGTCCTCGGCGGCTTTCCAGCCTCGAGGTGTTTTCCAGCAGCTGCGCCTCGCCGAGGACGTTCTGGGAGTACCCAGATCGCTCCGCACGGCCGCCGAAAGGCCGAAATATGGCCCAGAGCCCAGTAGGCGTCCGACAGGGGGCGGGCGTTCTCAGAAGGATCGGAAGTCCTCAAGCCTTCTGAGAAGAGCCCCAAGCCTTCACCAAAGGAACAGCAGAAAACCTGTCACAGGGCGCGAGGGCTTCTGGCAGACCCCGCCGCCTTCTGAGCGGGCCGCCTCCTTTTCACTTCTCCCCTTCGCTTGCCGCCGACTAATTCTCAGTATCCGTGGGCCCCCGTGGACGCACGGGACCGATGTTGGCCCAGGCCACCCAGAGCGCCTTTCTCGGCGCCCCAGACGTGCCCCCTCCCCTCCCCCTCTCCCCCCCTCTCCCCTCTCCCCCCTCCCCCTCCCCCTCGCCCTCCCCCCCTCCCTCCCTCCCTCCTCCCTCCCCTCTCTCCCCCTCCCCTCCCCCTCTCCTCTCCCTCCCCCTCTCCCCCCTGAGCCCCCCAGAGCGCGGCGCGCGGCGGCCATCTCCGCGCCCTCGCGAGGCAGCCTTCCCAGACATGCGATGTCCTGATTTCTTCCGCAGGGGATCCCCAAGAAGTCCCTACCCTTTCCCCGGGGCCGGCTTTTCACCCCGACCCGATGTTTGTGTAGGTCCCCAGGCCCAGCGAGGGACCCTCGAACCGTTAACATCCAAAAGCCTCCAGTGGTGACTTTTGCACGATTCGAGGGGTCTGGCCGTTTTCGGTCGTCGTCGTCGTCGGCGTCATCGCCCGTTGGCGTCCGACCATGCCTGGCGTGGAGAAGGGCAGCGCTCTGGGCCAGACGACGGCCAGACCGCAAAACGCAGAGCGCGGTTTTCCGGCCCGGGGCAATGCTAGGGGGGACGGACTCAAGAAACGTCGATCGGGCCGGGCGAAAGGGAAGGGATACCAAAGGGGGGGGGAATCAGCTCACGAGGAAAGCCAGGAAGCGCCCATGCATCGAGGAAAGGGCCCAGCGGCGGGGCCGACGCCAGCTGCACGCAGCAGATTTCGTAACCCCCCCCTTTCCCTATCCCGCCCGTTCGTTCGGCCCGAGTCGAGCTGGAATCGGCGATGCATCGGCAACAAATCGGCGACACGCCCCCGATTGCGAGCCCGCACGCTTGGCTGGGCCCGGGGCCCCGTGGCCGGGGCCCCCCTCCTGTGGATTGCACGGGAGTGACTGCACGGATACAGACAAGCACGAGGTGCAGATAATCGGCGGCGGGCGAGGGGGGGAAGTGAGAAGGAGAAGGCCTTCTGAGAACGCGGCGGGACGTTTCAGAAGCCGTCGCGCCTTCTG